TAGGGTTGGATCGAGTGCCGAATGGGACCCGAAAAAGGGACTCCGAGACCGCAAAAAAAAAAATCTGATGTATTGAATACAATTTTGTTGAATTTTCATAAAGTTATTGGAGATCGTTCCTCCTTTGAACGTCATGTCACACCCTAAAATTCGTTCATTTCATCCATTATTGGACCTTTCTTGTTAACCAATGAGGATTTATTATAGATCAATTTGAAGATTTCAAGTAAATCTTTGAAATGATGTGTTATTTTTCTCACTACATCGACTTGATCAATTATTATGGGTGATTATGTGGCAATTCACGATTCCTTCAGCGTTTTAGTGCCCGATTGTTATCATTCCCGCCAATACTCAGTGGCATTAATGAAGTCAAGAATTAGTCGAGTTTAAAAAATTGGTTGAAGGATCAATTTCGTGCAGCCTGGCCAGCGCGCGTCTCGCCTCTAGTATGTGAAAAAAAAATGAATTTGTGGATTCCAAAGATATATATTTCATCATAAATTACAAAAAAATCTTAAACCTAATGATTTCTTTTCCAACAAATTTTCTATCTGTACAAAGCAGTAAATTGAATCATAATCATCATTCAATTATTATAACAGTCATCACCAATCGTCTTGTGGCACTCTGTATGTGAAATTATTGCTCCTGATAATGTTGATACCAGCTCCGAAATACGGCATAACGTAGTGCGATCCATCGGCAGGTCCAACAATTTGTGTTGCTATCAATATGACATCACAAAATTGCCCCAAGAATAGGAATCCCAGTGTACAAAGTTTTAATAAACCAATCGCGGGATATCCGAGATAGAATCTGTCAGCTCCGAACATTCCCAGGAATATCGATAGCAATACTGATGTCTCGAAGGAGTAGCCATTGCTGAAAATTACATTTTCGTTTTTTGATTAACATCCAAATGCCAAATTTGTAGAACATAACAGAGCATATCAAGACAAGGCAATTCTTCACTTCCAGTTGAATTATTTTCCTAATAAATGATTGTAAGAAACATCTCAAGAAACAGTTTACGTTGACATTTTCTCAGCTGCAAAGATTCTTAACATTTTTCCCTGAAATGAGTTGTTTTCGAGAGTTTCTTCTCAAAATTTCTTCCAAAAAGGTGCCTCAAAAGAAATACTCTTAAAAAAACTATCTGGAATTTTTTAATTTTTTATTCTTTTAGAAAAAAAACATTTTTTGGAAAATAGTTGATCCACCAACAATTAAATTCAAAAATTCCGTGGATAAATGATGTTGAGAAGAAACAAGGAATCGATTGCACAGAAAAACTGGTAGAAAAAAACATCAATTCAGAACAATAATTGAATTACCACAAAAAAAAAATTACGAATAAGTCTCCCTCAAAAGAATTAGGAACCTTTCATTACAGGTGGTAGGGGATTTGATATTTATTTATTCTTTATTCTTTCCCTTCTGGAAAGAGGGCGCGTGATTTAAATGTCGGTAAGTATCGTGGGAACAGTTTGGGTCGTACCATGGAACTGAGAGAGAGAGAGAGGAAACACTCGACAGGTTCACTAACTTAAGACGCATTTTAATGCTATTTGAATAATTAGAAAAACATCCAATAAAAATTATTTGACACCCGTAGGTGATGAGAAAAAAATCAATCAATCTGATAAATAAAATCAATATTCAAAAAATGTTCAAATGCACACTTAAATAGTTACTTGAAAATTGGANCCCCCCTACCGTTTCCCCCCCCCCCCCGTGAACAACACACGAAACACCCTAATGGAGCTCTGCGTGATTGAACGTTTGCTGCTCCAACTTCTTCGTTCTAATTTAACATGTTCGAAAATGCATAAAGCAAAAATTCAAAACAGCTTTCAATTTTCAAAACGTCATGGTAATTTTTCTCATATTTGAATTTCATATGGTAAAAACCGAAAAATAAAACTTTGAACGTTGATTTGAGCATGTTTCCCACCGCTTTTTCTTAATCTGTTAATTTTTTCTGAAAATTCAAAAAATTTCCGATCGAAATCATATTTGAAAATTGTTTGCTCATATGCTGCAGAGTCGAAAAAAAGGCGAAAAATAAAAAATGAGTAATTGCAAAAAGGATTTTTCATGGTTTGATAATGTAATCACAATTTTTATTCATTACATAGGTATTTTTATTAGCACAAATTGCTTCCCCATTTGTTGTTAAGAAATGAGGAAGCAATTTGTGCTAATAAAATAAAAATAAAAAATAAAATCGATTAACAAAGACACCGTGAGAAATCAATTTTCGGAATACCATTTTCTTGTTTTGTCGGCGAAACTTCACAACCTCGTTTTTATACAGTGAAGTTGGAGAGAAATAGTTTGGTGCTTGTATAGTGAGCGTCTCTAATGAATATGAAAAAGAAAAAGAGTTGATATTTTTCGTCCTGTACTAATGATATGGAACTATACGATGTGCAGTTAGTGAAATCGAATAGTTGATAAGGTAAGGTGGACGGGTTAGCCATTGTGGCAAATTCATCATACTTTAGTTGTATAATAAAGTTTATAAGAGAGATGTATCTCTTTTCGGAAAGTCGAATTATGACTTTTGATTGCTTCCGTAAGCAATTTTTCTGCTCTCTTAGACCGGAATAATATAGAGTAATCCTACAGATACAAAGAATGCTAAAATAATTATCACCTTGATTTGCACTGAAGCTATTGTTGAAAAACTTTTCATCTCATTTGTGGTAGTCTATGCAATTTATTCACTCCTAAGTAATAGTATTTGGTATTGAAATTGATTAATTTGTTGATAATAACTGCAACGACATAGAAAACGTTCCATTACAACACTGAATCTTTCATAACTATTTTATTGTCATTTATCTAATAATAATAATTTTTTCAATCAGTGTAATCTCTCGAAACTTCAGGTTTTCATGATAATTCCCAATCAATTACCTTTCATATCGCTATGAACAATCTTCTGATCATGAAGATACTTCACTCCGTCGAGGATCTGCTTCGTCTAATGAGAAATAGTGGATTCATTCTGTTTTCACTTGTTCCACGAAAATCTTGGATAATCCATCCTCACTGACAGATTCCAAATACTGCACGATGTTCCTGTGTCTCCTCTTACCCTGATCATCGAGCTCGACTCGAACTTCATCTGCTTATCAGTCATGTAGGCATCCAGATTTGTCACCATATGTTCTTCATCAGCCGTCATTTCGAGGACGAGTTCGTAGAACCTCTGTCTGCATTCGAGGGAAAGAACTTCTTCTATAAACTGATACTTCGAGTCGTGTTAGCAGTGAACAGTCAGTCATGGACCTGTTTGTTGTTAATTTTTCATGCTGTCCAAACAAAGATTTCAGATTTGAATGGACTTCTCCTCAGCCCCTAGATTCGCATTGTCATAACTTGGCATCAAGAACTTTGTGGGCTGAAGAATCAGGAGAGAAAATCTAATATTATCCCTCACTTCAGATTTAGTTGCTTCAGCGAAGAAATCCATCGAAAAACGAATGAAGACTTGCTCTTCTGGAGAGACTTTAGTATCCTCGTTTTTCTTCCTGAATCTATCGATAAGGGAAATTTTTCCAATAGTAAATTTTAGGTACCAGCTTGGAGGTTTCAGCTTCAACATGCACTCACCTGCCTGCAGGGCCTTGGTGTAATCCTCGGTGAGAACAGAGACCTCGAAGAATGTTGCAACGTCTCAGTATTCTTTCAGACTTGAGAGATTGCCTTTCTTGCCTATCAAATTGTTCAGGACTATTCCAATGTGCTGCTCCTCACTCTTGGAGAATTCGTACTTGTTCGGTTGAACATTAAATCCTTTTCTGCACTACTGCATGGCACTCTTCAGGCTCTCTTGATCAGTGTGTCGACCCTCCACGAACTTGATCTGTTGTAGATTCTTCCAGCAAGGCAGGCAAGTGGCTTTCTTTCTTGATGAAGGATTTCTCCATAACTCTGACTGTCTTTTCTCGATTACCCTCTTTATTTCTTTTGCTCAGAGCGAAACTGTAGAGATAGACGATCATCGGAGTATTGATGTACTTGTTGTCATTGGGAATCGTTCGAAGGTCGTCGACCAGTTGTATCATGGAGTCAGTCGTAATCCTGGACTTCTCTGAATCATCCACACATTTCTTTCATGTTGTTGAGGATTTTTCATAGCTCGTCCCCTCCATAATATTATAATGATCTTGTTGAATCAAATTATTCAATGAGTTATTCAAAAAATTTTTAAATAGAAAAAAATTTATCGGTTATTTTTGGAATAAACATTGAATAATAGTCACCTAAATACATTTCCTGAGCCTTCCTTATGCTCACCAAAAACTTCTCCTCCAAATTGCACCTTCCACTCAGCTCCGAATTGGAATTGATGACTTAATATTAATTCGTAAAACGTCCGTCTACGATTTTTTAACATTCAAATTCTTCGTGAACCACAATTTTCCTCCAATTTCGCCTCTTTTTTATACTAAATGTTCGTTCACAACTTATTCACCATTTTTAATATATTTAAGAAATTGACAGAAATCACATCATCAATAAATATCTTTTTTCCCCATTAAATTTCTAACTGAAAATAATTTTGCAATAAAACATTTTTCGATTTACAGCGAACACCATGGAAATTCACAATCTAGAGCTATTATACGTCCATAGCTCGAAAATAATCCGAACTCCGCTCGAACATCGTTCGAGCTCCGTTCAAACGTCGTTCGAGCTCCGTTCGGACGTCGCTCGAGCTCCGTTCGATCGCCGTCCGATGGAGACTCGAGCGTCATTCGGACTATTCCGAACTCATCCGATGAGCTTCGATTGCGCCCGAGCGGGCTCAAGTTTCATCGATGAAAACACGGTCTGCTCGATAATAAAATCCTTATCTGCGTTATCGACTGTCTCGTGTGTGAACTCGTGCGCACGCAACCGGATGAAATTTGACAATGTCGCATTCCTCATGACGGTTTCCGGCAAACCTCATGTAGCTATTGACAGTAATAGTGATTAGTGAAATGGATCAGAGTAAAGTTCCACAACTAATCGAAGAAGTGCACCGTAGACCTGCAATTTGGAACAAATCCCTAACCGAAAATCGGTTCAAGGCTTTCATCGGGACTGAATGGGATAAGGTTGCAGCCAATATCCGTGTATCCAGTAAGTATACTCATATTTTTTTCAAAAAATAAAGAAAAATAATCGTATTACTATGTCACTTTGTGAGGCATTGAGTAATGCAAAAACAACGCAAGAAGGGTATATTTTTTCGCATCAATCCGATCTACAATTTTTTAAAACTCCAATTTTTCAGTGACATTTTGAAAATGTTTGGTTAAGGTGTTTCAACACCCTTTTGTCCAAAATTCATGTTTTTTCTACCTTTCTGGTTAACTCTTTATCAGATTGACGCGAAAAAATAAACCGTTTTTGCATTATATCATTATTGAATGCCTCACGAAGTTACGTAGTGATGCGATTATTTTCCTGCCTTTTTTGTAAAGTTTTTGAAGAAATCAGAAAATTGTGGAAAAATGTAGAAAAATAATCGCATCACTATGTAACTTCGTGAGGCATTGAATTATGACATAATGCAAAAACGCTATATTTTTTCGCGTCAATCTGAAAAACAATTTACCATAAAAATAGAAAAAACGTGAATTTTGGACAAAAGAGTGTTGAAACACCTTAACCAAACATTTTCAAAATGTCACTGAAAAATTGTACTTTTGCGAAAATTGTCGATCAGATTGATGAGAAAAAATATACCGTTTTTGCGTTGTTTTGGCATTATTCAATTGCTCACGAAGTTTCCGGGTGTAGTGATTATTTTTTCTGCATTTTTTCTACAGTTTTCTGATCTCTTCTAAAACTTTACAAAAAATACAGGAAAATGGTCGCAACATCCTGAAACTTCGTGAGGCATTAAATAATTGAATAACGCAAAAACAATATATTTTCCGCATCAATCCGATCGACAATTTATCAGTGACATTTTGAAAATTTTTGGTTTTTCGGGGTGATAGTTGTATTTTTTTTTCACAGAAATACAGGCACAAAGCAAGTGGAAATCTCTGGTGAAGAAATTTAAGAGTGAAAATGCTCGTGTTCAGCTTCGTCGATCAGGTGACGGTTTAGAGGACACCTACAAATCAACTTGGCCCTATTACGAGTCGCTGACATTCCTAGGCAGCTCAGTTCTCCCCAATTTCTCAAGTGGAAATTTGGAAATCGGTGGTGACGTCAAGCCGGAGCTGAACGACGTCGTGACTGAGGAATCATCCTGTAACGAAGTTGTTCAGAAAATGTCAAAAAAACACTGCGACATTGCTGAGGAGATTCTACGTATGCATAACGAAAAATTCGCATTGTTGGAAAAATCTGTGACCAGCAATGTACGTGGGACCAGTTCACTGGAAGATGACAAACACAACATGGCATTTTTTGAAACCCTTCTGCCGACATTGCGGGAATCCCCAAAGAGGATATTTTGCTCTGCCGGAATGACGTTTCCCAGGTGATTTTCAAGTACGCCTACAAAAATGCTACTTGGAAATCGATAAATGACTCTGGATCTTCTGACAGTTCGCTCAACAGATCAACATTACCAAAGAGGAGGAGACAATTGGCAAATGAAGATGATGGTAAGAATCTGAATATAATTTAATAATGATTGAATTGAAAAAGTAGAATAATTTTATTTTCATTTTCTCAGACTTGCCAAATCATAAGCTCCTGTTCACCTCGCTCAGCCGTCAAACACAATGCTTTTGTTAAGAAGGAGAAGAAGTATGAGCCCACAGCGAAAGAACGTGAAATGGAGCATCGGAATAGCGGTAAATTTTTTAAATCTATTTGATAATATCCTATTGGTAGAAAAGATTACAATTTAATTAATGAATGTTGACTATAATTTTCAGAAATGATTCGACTTGGGTATGACAGGTTTTCATATCCTCCTCAACCTCTCTGGAAGTGGGATCATATGTACCAGCAGCAATTTCCTCGATACCCTACACCACGTCATCTTCATTCGATGGAGAATCAGGAGTGGTTCGGTGAAGATAGGACTCCAAGACCAATGCCTCAATCTGCTGCAGACCCTGCTAGGTTCACAAACCCACCTCTACCAATCCAGCCTCTTTCTGCATCTGAGCCAGTCGCGAAGCAAAGGCTGGTATGTGAGGAGCATTCTCTCATTTCGACTGCAACCATGACGCAGCTTGAAGTAAACAAGGAGAATCAGAATATGGGATCTGAGAGTGGCCGAGATCCTGCAGTGGATTAAACTTTGGCTTTTTGGGAGTTTTCTTGGGAGATTGGTGATGTTTTACGGTATATTTAATTTTCAGAATGTTACCTCATTTCCACGGTTTGGAATAATTATATTTTGATAAGAAAAAATAATACTTGCTGAGTTTTGAAACGCATTCAAAGAAAAATACTTTTTGTTTCCAAAGTTTAAAAAATGCGATTACTAATCGTTGAATTATTATTAAAGTTAATTATACTTTTCTTTATAAAGATGCCAAATGATAATTTATAATGATTTATTTACAAAAATACAAAGTATTTATCGTTAATTGACTTCAATTATTTTATAAGTTTTGAAGATCACAGAAAATAATTGTATGATCATTGTTCAAATTCAGTGTTCAATAAAAAAAATTCAATCAAATCTTATCTTGTAACCATTGATACTTTATTTATATTTTCACCAAAAAAGCATAGCCGTCTCATAATATTCTTATTTTACAATTTTATTTTTATCACGATTTGTTGCAAGCAGACTTGCATCTCGCCATTGTTCTAGGTCCTTCAGCCATGTATTTATTTCAATGAATAATTTATCAAAAAAAAATTGGAGGTCTCCTCACAAACAGCATAGCAGGAGACATCGCTGAGGATTACGACAAGGATTTGCAGCTACAACAGCTGAAGAATGATGTTTTGCAGACCATCTGGTAAAATCAGGATTTGTCACACCAGTTGGACAGCATGAACATCAAGATTGGACTGCTCATCCAGAACAGAATAGTCCTGCAGGATGTAATTGCTCATGGGTAGAATGTGGAGACACTTGCCAAAGAGAAACAGCATCAATTTAGAAAAAATACAGTCTCTGAGAATGTGAGCAATCGCAAAGGCCTGAAATCCTTGACGAAGGAGGGGAGGAAGCGTTTGAGGGATATCAACAATTGTTCTACGCTTTACAAACAAATACTGATTTTTTATCGAAGTTGATATTCTTGATACCCCAGAGCAAAACAAATAAATTCCTCCAGAATGTCATTCTGACACTTTCAAATTTTGGTTCCAACATCAGAGACGAGTATCTTCTTCTGAAGCTCTTTCGTAGCGCTCTGCAGGAGTAAATAAGATCGAAATTTCAGAAACCATCAGAAGTTGTGACTGGAAATACTTTGGTTCTGAAAATGGTTGTTCATTATTTACGACAGTTGAATGGTTTTGCACTTCATTAGATTCTGGGCCCAGAGAAAGTTCTGGAAGACAGATCTGTCAGCATCGAGACAAGTCCAGTGGCATTAACAAGGGCTGGAGGAATCAGCTGGAGATAGAGAAAGGTGAGAGTCTAGATCTACCTTATTGTGTTAATCAATGTACGTCATTAACTTTAATAATATTATACTTTATTTTAATATGTATGTCAACGACTTTATCGAGGAATTCAAATACTCAAGGACATGGTGATGGAATTCCTCAAACAAATAATAGAGTCCAGAGATATAATTCCTTATGGTATGCTCTACAAGTCGAAGGTACTGTACGACACTCTCACTGAACAATTTCCTCAAGCTCCATAGAAGGATATTCTCAAGGTTGTGGAGAACTTCGTTTATTACAACTTTATAAATGCTACCATTGTGGCTCCT